CCAGGAGGGCCCCTGTCCCCCCGGGGGTGGCTCCTGTCCCCCCGGGATGGCTCCTGTCCCCCCCAGGATGGCTCCTGTCCCCTCTGGGATGGCTCCTGTCCCCCAGGAGTGGCTCCTGTCCCTGTCCCCTCTGGGATGGCTCCTGTGCCCTCTGGGATGGCTCCGTCCCCTCCCAGGATGGCTCCTGTCCCCCCAGGATGGCTCCTGTCCCCTCTGGGATGGCTCCTGTCCCCCCAGGATGGCTCCTGTCCCCCCAGGATGGCCCCCGTCCCCTCTGGGCCGGCTCCTGGCCCCTCCANTCCTGTCCCCCCAGGATGGCTCCTGTCCCCTCTGGGCTGGCTCCTGTCCCCTCCAGGATGGCTCCTGTCCCCCCCAGGATGGCTCCTGTCCCCTCTGGGATGGCTCCTGGCCCCCAGGATGGCTCCTGTCCCCTCTGGGATGGCTCCTGTCCCCCCCCAGGATGGCTCCTGTCCCCCCCAGGATGGCTCCTGTCCCTCCAGGATGGCTCCTGTCCCCTCTGGGATGGCTCCTGTCCCCTCTGGGATGGCTCCTGTCCCCCAGGAGTGGCTCCTGTCCCCAGGCCACCCCCCAGGCCCCACTGTCCCCATCCTGGCACCGCTCCTGTGCCACCCCCACTTCCCTTTTCCCTTTTCCTGCAGGATCCAGGGGGGCTCTGGGGGGCTCTGGGGGGTACCCCGGGTTTGGGGACAGCCACAGGGACCTTGGGGACAGCGCGGGCACCGCGCCGGAAGTGGGGGAGGGGTTTGGGGCCCCCCTTCCTGCCCGGGCTGGGGGGCACAGGAGGGGTTTCGGGGAGGGGACAGTGATAATTCCCACCGGGATCACCCCAAAATGTGCCACCCCTCCCACCCCAAAAATCCCTGAACAGGGGACACGGGGTGGGGACAAAGCTGGGGGGGACCCGGCCGGGGCCACGTGGGCGCCCCAAAACTGGGGGAGGGGGGATTTGGGGGTCCAGGGCTGGAGAAGAATCCCCAAAATATGGGGGGGGGTCACTGCAGAGAGAGGGCAGGGCACTTCTGGGGGGCTTAAGGCAGGTCTGATTCAGGGTAATTTTGGGGAGTTCAGGGGGGTCAGTGCAGCACTGGGGGTGTCAGGGTAATTTGGGGGGGGTCTTCCAGTGCAGGGTGATGCTGGGGCTGGGGTGACAGCCCGGTCCTGGGGGGTCAGAGTGGTGCTGGGGGGGGGGTGTCAGGGTGTCACGGCCGGGGGGGGGGGGAGCGCAGTGCCATTGGGGGGTGTCAGGGACATCAGGGGGTGTCAATGCCAGGGCTGGGTGGCCCTCAGCCCATCCTGGTGGTCCTCAGCCCATGCCGGGGGTCTCAGCCCATCCTGGTGGTCCTCA